GGAGAGACGGGGGTTGCCAGGGGTCTGGGCGGTGCAGGAATTGCAGGCTCTCCCCCCGACCTGTTCCCGCAGGCTCTTCACCGTGTACCCCAGCACCAAGCTCTACTTCCAGCACATGGGCGCCTGCCCGGACGAGGTGCACCTGCTGAGCCACGGGCAGCGCATGCTGGAGGCGGTGGGCGTGGCCGTGCAGCACGTGGACAACCTGCGCGCCGCCCTGAACCCGCTCGCCGACCTGCACGCGCACGTGCTACGCGTGGACCCGGCCAACTTCCCAGTGAGGCAGCGGGGCCCGCCGGGGGGTTCGCGCGCGAAGCCGAGCGATGGGGGGGTTCCGGAAGGAACTGGAGGGGGCAGGCGCCCTCTCACCCGCCCCTTCTCCCGCAGCTGCTGATCCAGTGCTTCCAGGTGGTGCTGGCCTCCCACCTACAGGACGAGTTCACGGTGGAGATGCAGGCGGCCTGGGATAAGTTCCTGACGGGCGTGGCCATAGTGCTGACGGAGAAGTACCGCTGAGCCCCGCGCCCCGCATGTCAATAAACCGACCTGAAACTGGGAGACCCTGCGCATGCGTAGTCTTTGGGTCTTGGCCGACGTTACTGTTGCTGAGCATAGAGGCTCCTGGAATCTTAGGGAGCAACCCCAAAACTTTGCTAACAAGGGAACGGGGCCCCGGAGCGACACTGGGAGCTCTCCAGATTTGGAATGAGGACAGTTCCCGAGCCTGGACAGGATACTCGAAGGGTGGAACAAAACAGTTGCCCTCTTGAGACTGGGGGTGTGGGGAGCTGTGGTGGAGCAGAGTGGGGGCTCGAATGGGTGGGGGGCTCGTCTGAGGTTTCAGCGCGCATCCGCACCGGGGAACCATCACGGTTGGTTCGCAAAGCACATCGCATTCCCTCGGTCATTCATCCTCCCTCCATCCCCGCCTCGCACCCGGAGCTGCGATCGTGAATCTCGGCCTCCTTTGCAGAAGGACGTGGGCGCCCAGGCACAGGAGCCAAGTTCCTGGCCTGAGGTCAAACAGAGTTCGGGGTCCAGGGCTCCTTGGACCCTCCTCTCTGTTCCTTTCCCGCTTCCTCCCACTTTCCCCACCACCACCACCACCACCACGCTCAGTCTGCAGCAACACTTGCCCTGCGCCAAGTTAACCCCTTTTTCTGAATCTCCTGGGCTGGGAATGGGGGTGCAGAGGAACTCCTAGATGGCCACAATCTGGCACACGGAGCAGGTTTCCAACCGGTTCACACCAACAAGCTGTGTAATCTGACCCTAACACACTGACGGGAGAGGGGGGGCGAACGACGATGACGCCCCGACCTTGCTTGACTTTGCAATAATTTTTAATATCATAATACAGGGTGGGTGTCTGGCAGGACCATGGCCGCCTAACCTCCACCCCAACCCCAGCCCCAGACGCTGTGTCTCAGTCTCTACGGGTTTTCGGGCCAAGGCCACCCCCCACTCCCCTCACCCCAATATCTCCACTCTGCTGCTTGGGGCTGAAACTTTAGCGCTCCACGCATAACCTTTGGGGACAAGGGGACGGAAGCCAGAAGCCGACCCTGGTGCTCTGCAGACTGTGAATGAGCACGGCTTCCGAGCTGGCCGGCCCCGGTCTGTGCTGGGG